AATGACATAGTGACGTTAGATGGCAAACCAATTACCTGCTGCCTAACAATTCGTGACGTCGGAGTTCGCAAGGCTTTTTAAATATCGCCGAACAGGTACATCATGTCACCGTCAAAGCGAAATTTATCATAGTACGTATTTGCAATACGTTACGCTTGAAAGATTCTAGGCTAGTTATGTATGAAGCATATGCGCGTCCAGTGTTAAAATATTGTCCATTAGTATTTACAAATTTAAAAATGTGCGACAAAATCAATCTTGGAAAAGTACAAGGTTCCTTTGACAAAAGATTACTAGGGTTTGGATCCTTGACTTATCAACAACGGTATGAACTGCCAAAGCTAGAAGCATTATGGTTGAGAAGAAGTAAGATTAATCTTATCTTCCTGTTTGACTTAACGCATACCAGTTCTGGGGAGCCAGATACTGTCCAGTTTGGCACGTCCCATCAATGTCCAACTAGAAATACATCATCCAGCCCTTGAGTTCCAAGAGTGTGTACAAGGTTGTGCGCCAAATTCTTTCTCATAAGGTATACAAGGTTATGAAATAAGCTGCACGTATCCATTAGATGCTACAACACTAAGCATGTATTTCGAGTTCAAGTATTCAAGCGCCTCACCGTAGAGGAGGTATTACGTATAATGGGCGAATCTACATCTCTAAACGATATTTATGAGAGGCCCAATAGAGCTTTAAAGGTCGAGCCTTACAACTACCGCATTTAAAATTCTCTCGGTTTAGAGCTGACCGCATATATTAACTACTGACCCTATTTACCTGTCTTTTTATTTTATTTTTTTCAACGTTCATTGTTTTATTTGCCCCACTTGGGCTACCGGGTTGCCTCAGTTAGAAGCTTTCGGTTCACTTCGTTTCACTGTCTCTCCTAACCGTCCTGCACTGGTTAATGATCATCTGATTTACTAGTTTGTCTTGTTTTGGTTTGAAAAAAAATTCATCCTTGTACCCCATATCATAATATTCCAGATAGTTGGTTAACTATTCCTCTGATGAAACGACAAACGCGACCCAGGTTTTTGTCACTTCATTTCACCTCATTGTAGTTCTCAACATCTCTTAACTTTTATCAGAGTTGAACGCTCTCCACCTGCTAATGTCAACATTGGAAGATTGATAGAATGAGAAGCCAGATCCTTTTCTGTACATTATTATCATCTCGCTCTTCAATATTTCGTATTCATTTAACCTAACCCGTATGTCAGAGTGGCCCCCTGTCATCTCGGATAGCCGGACTTCCAGGATTTTCGACGCCACTACACTCTATCTTGGCCATCACCATGAAATTCTCGTTTACCTGGCTCTATTTCCCATCATGCGCCTGTTAAATATCAGGCTCAGTGATGGGTGGACACACAGTTCCCATTTTTTCACAGACCTGCTCTTACACGTTTGTACTATTATTCGTACTTTGCCCTGGAGTAAGAAAAGTTGGCGTCGTTCAGAATAACCAGAGAGGTGACAACTGATGATACACACAAGTCTTGCTGTATGCCGTAATAATCCGGAGTATAGTGACCAAAAGCTTTTCACTAAACTAATGGCCACATATATTATTGTGCTTATTCACACATTTTAGACTACATTTGACAATGTAGAAATTATGTTGCCATCATCTAGGTCGCTTTTCCTATTGTAGCTGCGTCGCACTGAAATGTTGTTATCTGCCAAACGAGGCACCTTTCTCTCTCGCTGTACTTAGTGTCAGAGTCTGCTGCTATTAGAATCGTTTCATTCTGAAGTATTCTCTCAAAAGGCAAGGATTTCGGCATGAGTCCGCAATTTTAGATGTCGTAAAACAAGTACAAGGACGCTTGCCAAATTTTAAGTATTCATTGCACTGATGCCTATATGTTTGAATTATGCTTTGCCAGATATTTACGCAATATTTATTTTTGCTGGTAATCATTTTATAGCCGTTCCTTACCTACCTTGATACTATTGTTTATTTTATTTCCTCCCTGAGTCCACTACGAACTGGGACTTCTGAACGTGTTTTAATCGATCGATGAAGTTGGATTGCGCGTCAGCGGGAGTTTGAAAGAATGGCTCATCCACGAAAGTCCCATTTCCGCCTTCTAGTCAGACTGCGCTGGATCAAATCGAGATGACATCCGTTAACGGAGAATATAACCCCAGCACAATCTTCTGCACTTCACCCTGAACAATGTGCACGTGTGGTACTAACATGAATATAACATAATGCATATTCCCATGTAATACGTAGAGGGGACAAATGAAAAAAATCTGTGAATATTTTGATCTTTCCATATGCGGGAAAAGTCTCTCGCATCGTTGAGAAATGAAAGATTTATTTATTTATTTAAAGGCGATTTAGGTCTTGTTGTAGTAAGCCACAGTCTCTGGATGTGCCTATCACCATCCACATCTTCAGGTAGTCTGCAAACAGAGCACAGGGTGAGAGAAGAAGCCGAGGTAGGTTGTTGATATAAATCAGGACTTATGTAGACCCCAGCACCGTGGCTTGAGTACGCCACTAGTCGAAAGATACCAGTTGGTCAGATAGCTATCGACTTGTACCCTCCACTTTCGTCCGAGGAGAAAGTCCTGCATCCACTGGTGCAAAGTACACCAACACAGACACCCTCAGCTTGAGGAGGACCCCATGGTTCACCTTGTCGAATGCTTTGCTGAAATCGACGTATGTCCCTGCTTGCAACCATTCATGCCTCGTCACGAGCAGGTTGGTGATGCATGAATGACCCAGCATAAAACCGTGCTGTGCGGGTGTCAAGAGATCTTTGATCGGAACAGATGTATCAAACGCTTCTTTCTTCACAATCTTCTCTGCAACTATGGCCAAAATAGGTGTCAAAGTGACCTGTAGTTGCCTAGTTCGATGAGGTCACCGCCTGTCGGAACCGGCCGTACCAGCGAGCATTTCCAATCAATCGGCAATATACCTTCGGACATAGACCTCTTGAAAAAGTCAGTTACGGCAGGCGAAATGACGGCCGATAAGGACCTGAGAATGAAGGGGTGGAGCTCGTCAGGTCTAGCAGGCTTGGTGCAGTCAAGACTGTCGAGTAGCTGACGCACCTCTTTCCACTATCGAGTTCAGTAAAGGTGGTGCACGCCGAACTCGGTAAAGATACCTAGTCATTTGCAAACACAGAAGCAAAGTGCGTCGCAAAGTCGGACTCATGCTCAGTGCCAGGAGTAAAGGACTGCTCGTTCGCGTCCACCATCAGTGGTAGACTACTTGTCGGCCTCACGCGTCGCTTCACGTGCGCAAAGATTCCCTTTGCGACGGTTTTTGCTGCGGCTGTAAGCTGCGCTTCGAAATGCTTGCGCTTGCTCGTTTTCATACAGTTGCAAATATTTTGCTGCTTTTATACATCTTGTAGTCGTCATCCGAGTCAGAGATAAGGAATTTTTCCCATAACCTGCGCCGCTGCCGAACCAGGTTACCGTATTCCTTGTCCTTGTATTCCTTGCCGGTCCGACCTTCTGACACTTGAGAGACACAAATTGGTTACACAATGAATTTATTCCATTCTTTAGAAGTGACCAGTAAGCTTCAACAAATGCAGATTGCGGCAGAAACCAATCCACTTGGCTCACGGCTCGAGTCCGGCCGTCGAAACCCGTTTTCCAGTAGTTGTTATTTGGCTGCAGTGCGTGCAATTGCTGCAGCTCCGTGTCGGCAATAAGAACTGAGTGGTCGCTTGCTGCCAGAGGCTCCAGGATCCGAATGTCATACACAGGTGGCTCACAGCTGGTTGACATCAAGTCTAAGCACGATGAAGTTGAACGCGGGGTTAGGCGCGTCGGTTGGCAGATGTGTTGCGCTGGCTCAATTTCAAGTACCATATCAGCGAACCTTGCTTCAGCCTCAAAATAACCGGTAATAAGTTCAAGTTCAGATCGGCGTATTTGATGATAATTGAAAGCGCTTATGAGTAGAAAACAACGGCGACTCATGTGGTCACGCGGCAGCCAAACCAAACAACGGCTCAGGTAACTGCGATAGAGTGCACCCACAAGCAGCTCTCCACGCTTGAGAAGGATCGAGGACCACAACCGCTCACATAGACCATCTTCGCTTCGGTGGGAGCTCACGGGTCCCCACACATACAAGACCGGATGTGAAACAAGATGCCACCGTGGGCATTCGATAGCCTATCACGGCCGTGGCAGTCACCCATGGCTTAGTGGCGCTAGCTGTTGGCATCCGGAAGTCATGCGGTCGGAATCCGGCAGGGGTCCGATGGAAGACGTACCACGGGCGAGGCCCAGAAAGTCGAAACAGCGCTGGCTGGTGCTTTTCCAGACTTGCCAAAACCTGCTGACTGAGAGTGGACTATGATGAATTATCTCTGAATTGTACCGAAATCCCCACTAATCATTGGCAATATATATATATATATATATATATATATATATATATATATATATATATATATGCGGGTGTGTGTCCGATATGCCGCATACCATAAGGTCGAACCACACAGATGAAAGTTGCATACCGAATTTTTGATGGTGCTCAAAGCACCGGCCCGTAGCTTAAAGACAACGAGCTTGTCTTGCAATCTGGCGGGCGCGGGTTCAAGCCTGCGTAGGGACAGGGCAACCCTCGCAATATCCTGAGCCCACGTGCGACCGGTGGGGGTTGTGCGGCTGCAAAGCGTCGGCACTGCGTACCGGTGTACTGCTGACGCCTTTCTTTTTTCAATCGACAGTTTAGAGAGAGAGGGGTCAAAAGGGAAGAGCAGAGGCAAATACAATCAAGTAGATCACGGCAAGCCGCAATTGCAACATCAAGCCATGAAGAAATATAGAAAGCATGGAACAGCGACTGAAGAGGCAGTAAAAGTTCGAGAGTGTAATTTTACACTATGGAATGAAAAAATGTTGAACAGACATACAAACTGCAAGCCAAGCATGCGAATTTGTTAGCCCGCAAAAAAGATGATTGATACGAATGATGTATATAAGCAGTTACAGAGAGAACCCACTTGAAAAAGTTGAAACAATGCTCGTTGTACAATGTTCTTATGCGACACAGGTAGCATGCTATCTGCAAAAGAGAAGGCAGAGGTGGAGACAGACGAGGGAACTACAAGGATTGAAGTGTTGGAAATGCACAACGAATCGGTCGGAAGTTGGTAAACCGATGCATATAGTGTTACATTCTCATTGCGGAGTGCTGATGAAACATTACTGGAGATTTACAGAGTGTAAACCGCTATCGAGCGGTTCGCGACATGGATTGCAGTAAGAGGTTAGTGGATGGTGATTAGGCTCGACAATCAAAGTAGAGATATCAGGTGCAACTGACTCCGCCTTCCGCTCCATTAATTCGAAAATAATGCTTTCCAAAGATTGTTCACAATGTAAACCGGAGTTTGAACAGTGTGACTCGGGAACTAAACGATTTAGATCCAGGCGGCTACCTAATTTCGCTTTATCTATTTCGACCAGAAATCGTTCAGTTGGAATACTGCCGGCGGACGGGACTGTTGCAAACTTCTTGGACCGCTTTGTCGGGAGGACAGGTGGCCGGGAAGAAGGAGAGGAGGCAGACAACTTCAAACGAATCAAGATGTTTCGGATAAAGTTGGTAAAAAATTGGTAGCAGTTTCTTAAACTGGATACACGTGATGGAAAATTACGTCCAGTGCGGACGGAGGGTGAGTTATCACATCCACATGACCACAAGTGCCCGAGAGTGGACAAGTAGAGCTGAGGTGGCAGATATGCAGTACTTTGTTGTGGCGAACACACGAAACCATTCTGATGAGAAATCCGATGTAAATCTTCATCGTTCCCAAGGCCTAGTTCTACTGCTCCAATTGGAAAATCAAACGCACCAGATGAGAGCCGTGATTTTGATGTGAATGAGCGAATTGTGCCAAGTGGGTAGGGTTCTCTAAAAGATGTTACCGAGGCTGTCCTGTGTCTTGTGTTAAAGCTGTTATACTCATGCCAGTCGTCAAGCATAAGATGATAAAATGGGTGTACTGGCCATTCGAGCACAGCCACACGCCTCTTCCTGTGCAATCTGTACGCACAAAGGTTTGAAGTGAAAATCGATTCAGACGTGTGGCCGTTCAAGGTCACAAAATGAGAACTGCAACCGAACATGACGTGCCAACAGTCAAATGTAATGCGGCTGCGTTATCAGAGGAGAAATACAGTCAACACTGCGGACCACACATAAGGTGATGGTCATATGTAGAATAATTATACTGTGAGCAGTCCTGTAACATAGCATCACCAATACACGTTAGCTGAGGGTTACAAACACACCTCAGATAATCTGCAGCAATACAAATAGATAAGCCACTAAAAGAATTGCACGACGAAAATGATTCCGAGCAAGTAATTTGATGACAAATATTGCAGTATGCATTTCGTATGAGAGCGTAATTGGAAAGAGGATCCAAAGAAGAGAGGGATAGGCAGAGAAACTCATAACACAAACGCCAATGAGACCGGCTCCTCGCCACATTAGCAAGCGTGTTCATCATCCTTAGGACCCCAGCCAAGCAGTCGGGATGCACCAACCGACGCCAACTTCGAAGTGAGGACGTTCATTTCTTTCGACCAAGTCATCGCTTGGCCTCCCCTCCTCCTCTTCCAACCGCACACAACACGCAAACAATGCACGTCGCGGAAGTTGGTGTGTTGGCATGCGCAACACGTGGCCCAACCTTCGGAGCCTGGTGCGTGATAAAAGGGTGCTGAGCGCTTCACTCGCTCTTCCTACACCAAATACACGACGTCGAACACGCTCATCGCTCACGCGGTGTTCCCACCAGACATGAGCTAAGCTGTGCAGGCAGCGATGATCGAATGTGACGAGCCTCTTCATGTCTGTCGACCTTATGGGCCAAGTTTCGTAATCGTATGCGAAGGTTGAACGGAAGGCTGCATTATACACTCTACCCTTTAGGAAGAGTGATGTCGCGTCGACGCCACAGGTGGCGGAGATTGGCAAAAGCACCTCGAGCTATTATTATACGAACTCACGGGCGCTAATATAGCTGCCCATATACTTGAATTCCTGAACGACTTCTAGCTGATCACCACCAAGGGTCAGTGCAGGAGTGGGTCGCTGCCAACCTTGGAGAATAACTTTGCATTTCGATGCAGCAAAGCATAGCCCGAAACGATTGACAGCCAGTGCTAATCGGTTCAGTCTAGCCTGGCACGTTTGGGCGCTGCCACATATGAGGGCAATGTTGTCCGCATACTCCAAGTCAAGAAGTCGCTCATCATTTAGTAGCTCCACCCATTCTAGGTCAAGTCCAGTGAACGCTCTCTCCATGACTTCATCAATAGCGATGTTAAATAGGAAAGGTGACAGCATGTAACGTTGTCTCCCACCACTGGCGATATTGAATGGCGGCGACAGTTTGTTATAAACCCTCACTCTGCCCAAGCTATGCACGTACAGCGCTCTGATAATGCTTACGTATTTAATGGGCGCAACTTTCCCTAGTAGACAGTCCCGAAGGGCACATCGATCAACAGAAGCAAAGGCAAAAACATAATTTTGCAAAAAGTACCCTTTTCGACAAATCTCCTCAGGCATTTACAGTTATAAAATGGAAGAGCAGAGCGCAAATAGCTGATGAAGCCAAAGAGGTGGGAATAGTTTAATCACGACAAACAAAAACTCAAAAGTCTTGATCAATAAAGTCGACTAACAACACATGTAACAGAGCACATTTTGGTTGATCGGTGGAATGCCAAGCTCATCATTCGATCACTGTGGACGCAGGAAGTGATGAGCTGCTAACTTGGGCCAAGTAGAAGAAGCCCTTGAAGCAAAGCCTTCGGTTTGCATGTTTCCCGTTGAATCATCCTAATCGCGATCGCTTCGGCCGTCCGTAAGATTTGCTTCCTACGACTAATGTACCGTTGCTGTACTACATAAAGTACTTGGAAGGCATCAGCGGTCCTAATCTAGTGTCCACTTCCCACCAAATGTTCCAGGATAGAACTGTTAGGGCGACTGACGATGCCTTTCCGCAAAGCCGCTGGGCAGTGCTCCGCAATTCGTTTAGACAGACGCCTAGTTGAGTGTCCCACGTACCTCGCACCATAGGCGCAGGTAAGCTGATATAAGATTGGGACTGAACTGAAAGTATGTCTTTAACGTGTTGGGCTATAATGAGAGCGGTTTCTGTAAGGACGTGAGGGCAGCCGACCGGGTAGGATCGAGCCACTGCACTGGAAATGCTTCTGGTCAACAGAATAAAGGCAACATCGTCTTTAAAGGGAACTGATAGGAACACATCTTTCTTAGGGACAGTAGTAAACACTTCACGGATATCGCGGATCACTGCATGCTTTATGATGAATGGTGTCGGGTAACCGTTAACCTGCTGCGTTTTGAGAATACGGATCTTTTCGGCCTCGAGCGTCTCTTGGCTGCAAATATTCGTAGCATGAAAATACAAGCAGCGAACAAGATTACGTTTGTACCTTAAGAGTACAAAGCTTAGAAAATGTGTATATTGGCCTACCCATGTGGCCTTCCGGAATACACTTCTTTCCCATGAACCATCATTTCTTCGGCTTAGCAACACGTCTAAGTAGGCTAGATTTCCATCTCTTTCGGTTTCGATAGTGAACTTCAACGATGGGTGCATATCGTTTAACTGGTTTAACAGGTTAGGAACATCGATGTTTGAATCGTAGATTATAAACGTATCATCCATATAATGAGAGTAGAAAGTGAACGAAGCCATGATGCGTCGTATAGCTTCACGCTCAATCATAGCGAGGAAAATATCAGCAAGGAGTGATCCTAGGAGAGGCCCCATCGTGACACCGTGAATCTATCTGTAGTAGACTCTATTATATAAGAATTGTCAGTTGAAGGTACACCGTAAATTAATTCCTTCAATTTCCTCATCGGAATACCTACACCTATGGTCGTTTCATTCACGTAATCGCATACGAAATAGAAAGTTTCTATCAATGGAACATTCATAAAAAGTGACTCAACGTCCAGAGAGAGCAACAATTTGTCATTTACTTTCATGCCTTCTACTCTTTTCGCAGATTCAAATGTCTTTCAAGGTGTATGTACATAACTCCTTGCGTACTGCTTCGAGCAAACCTGCAAGCCATTTCGCAACCGAGTGAGTAGCCGAGGCTGACATGTCGATTATCGAACGCAGAGGGACTTGTGTTTTATGTACTTTAGGTAATCCATAAAGACGTGGAGGATGGGAACCCACTGGCGTTAACTGTTCCAGTAGCACGCTATCTAGTTGGTTCATACGCTTCAACTCCTTCAACACTTGAGTGATTTTAAGCTAATCCTGTGTGGTTTTATCTTATATCTTGCAAAATGGATAGTATTTTAGAAACGTAGTCGCATCTATCCAGTAGTACCCATCCGGAGCCCTTTTTGGGTCTAGAGATAATTAACTCAGAATTTGATCTTAATTCCTTGATGGTTTCTCTGTGTTTCTTAGGACATTAGAAGATGTGGTTTTGTAACATATATCGCTGCGAAAGATGAAAAAAGTGGTTCTGAAAGTATCTTTTGCAAGTGACGACGTAGGTGTTAGCTCGTTTAGTTGTCGCATCAAGTTTTCAAACTGGGTCTCCAGATGAATTTGTCTATACTGAGGCTGAGATTAACAAAACCCTGGTTCAAGTGCTAGTGCCTCAAGTCGCAGATGACTCAGCTGCAGGCTGGATAGATTGTGTACATATTTTCCTAGACGTGGTGGTAACTTACGTTCTGGAGGAGTTGGCTCTAAACCCTTAAGCAATTTCGCGTACTTCTTTTCTTCCACCTTAGCACACACTTCTTGGACATATTGCCTGAAGGCATCACACTGGACTGCATCGAGCTCTTCTATGCTTGAATCGTAACGTGAACATAGTCGTCCCAACTCAAGCAGTCGTGACTCAACACTTTCCAGTATGTTGTATGCATGCCGCTAAAGCGACTTAGTGGTAGGCGATACATGACATCGTTTAAGTGCTTTCCAATATGCCTTAGGATATTGGTTGCGCTGTAAACATTCTCGTATAAATCTAATATCGGTC